CAACTATTTTTGCATAGACTAATGTAGAACGCAGTGAAGATCATTAGTAGGCAATCGTTCGATGGTCTGAATTGCACGAAACGCATAATCGCACCGGCTAGTCTGGTACGCGTTGCTATTTATTACCAATTACTGCCGGCTCATTGGCTCACTTCCTGTTCCGCTTCGTCTTTTTGATTGCATCCTCACAGCAAAAAAGAGTCATTTTTTTGTTTCGCCCTGCACGCGCCTCGGCGCCCTTGTGTCGTTTCGGTCCTTTTCCCCTTTCTTGCGGTAAATTAACGCTAATAATGTACATCATTGAGCATCGTTATCTTGCAGTAGTTTTATTTCTCTATGATGGTTAAGAATATATTCCATCCCGAAAGTCACGGAAAGTGGGGTTTTGTTTTGCTCAGATTTCGTTGTTTGTGGTCATCGTGGTGTCATAAATTTGCGAATAGTGGGGTTTTGTTTTGCTCAGATTTCGTTGTTAATTTACGAAAAAGAAAAAAGGTCCGAGATTATAAAAGTCGTAGCAATGCTTGGTGTGTTTTTCCTTTAATCCTATGAGCCGCATGGTATTACCTTTCTGCGACCGAGGCATAATTAGGGAGGAAAACAGTGAAGCTGTAAGGAAAGTGCCGCCTGATTAGCTGTCAGTGTCCTCCGAAGCTTTTTAAAAAGCAGGGACGTTTAGATTCCCGTTCAGTTCATAAAAGTACTGGAAAAAATCCGTCTGTCTATCTTTTGGCAGGTGAAAGGCGCGGTTGTCGGCGAAGCGCAACGATGGCCGATAATGAAGCATTGCGAGTGGTACTTAGTGCACTTTACCACATGATCGAGTCGATAAGACGCAAAGATTTGTTTGATCTTGTTGTGCCTGCTGATAAGAGAGCGCGATACGCTCAACTGAGGGAGGATTTCATCTCAGAAGTCGGTGAGTAATTGATTATTGATTTTTGAAAACACAGTAACCTCATCTAGCGACAACAGTTGCATGTTATCCGGATGGATTGCGTTAGAAAGGTAGTTTTTATACGTTTTGTGCTGTGTGACAGTAGTACAAAACGCATATTGTCATGGGGTTGTCTGTGTGTTTGTATCCGTAGCAACTTGTCCGCAACTTTTAACTCGCGAACCACAGAAGCTAGGAAGCTGAAAATTTAGGGAAATGACCCATTTCCCTCGTGCGACCTTGCAAACTCAAATTCAGCGTTCCCACACACTCGGTTATCACTTACGGTCCCGTGAAAATTTTTGAGGGTAAATTATTATCTCGGGAACCACAAATTTTGCAGAGCTGGAATTTTAGGATAATGACCTCTTGCCCACGTACGACCTTACGAATTTAGATACAGCATTCCCACGCTCTCGGGTGTCACTTATGGTCTCATGAAAATTTTAGTGAGTAAACTATTATCTCTAGAATCACGGAAGGATATTCACCCTTTAGTGTTTCAAATTCGTCTTTCATGCGCCGGTGCATGAAATCTTTAACTATTTTTCAACGTTCCAACTATTTTTGCACAGGCTAAAGCACAAAGCAGTGAAATCATTAATAGGTAATCGTTCGATGAGCGGAATTGCACAAACGCATGATCGCACTGGCTAATCTGGTGCTTGTTGCTATTTTTTAAATAATGATATCTGTGAAAGCTGAGCTGCACACTTCGATCTTTTAAGTTGTCTATGCATTTGCAGAAGAAACAATCGAGGATAGCGATATGCCTCTGATAAAGATTTTGTTAGAAATGATGCCGATGTTTTGCCACGGAAGGAGCCCTCATTTTCCTATGAAAAAAGTAATTTTCTTCAAACAAATTTGACTAAAAATTTGATTTAAAAAAGTCATCTCACAGGATATTCAATCTCCAGGTGCTTCTGCTGATCTGGAAGACACTTCTCACATTGTTGGGA